GGTAGGTGCCGACCTGCCGATCAGTCGGCGGGTCGGCAGCCGACCAGTCAAGGGCCGCCGACCGTCGGGGGGTGCAACAATGCATGTTCACTAACTTACTAACTTCATTTGCATTCTTCGAAACACCGCATGGTACCTACCACACATGGCCCCTCTGCATAAACCTAGACCACATCCAAATTGCAGCAAATATTTCCACAGACGAGAACAATTCAATGCAATCTAACAACACTGGCCACATGTACTGTTAATTTCTAATCCTTTGAATGACTCTTGAGAGAGAACACACCACCACTCTCCCCTTCAATCGGCTAATGAAATCATGACAGACCGCGAGAAGAACAGCGCGCCTGAAACTGCTTCCAGTATTATAACAACTCTCGCCGGCTCGAGAACCCTAATACATCAGATTTGAGAGAACTAAGTTTGGCGCGTTATTAGTTCGCCCCCTACTCTCGCTACACGCACGTGCTGGTACTCTCATCGTATTGCTATTTATGCCATACTGACGACATCTCTCTCTCTCTCTCTCTCTCTCTCTCTCTCTCTCTCTCTCTCTCTCTCTCTCTCTCTCTCTCTCTCTCTCCCCCCCACAGAAAAAAGTTGTAGCACACCTGTTGCCTGCAGTGACTTCCACAGCAGTGTTAAACTTGTCATCACAATCGAGAAGTTCAATCAAGGCCCCTGCCACTCCCGGAATGTTGTGGTCCCGACAGATGCGCTTCACTGACGTGATTCCACGATTGATGTCCTGCATCAAAACGACAGTGAAAAAAAAACAGTTTTTTTTTACTACCTGCAAGCGCCAGTCACAAGACGTGAACGACAAGAAAACGTATGGCGACCTGCGTCTCTAACAGCCTCAATAAGAGTATCCGATCCCTGCAGAGAGAGCATGGAGAGGTCGCAACATCAGGTTGTCGCCTGCCCACGTCAGTCATCACGGGGCAACACGAATCCATCTCAGATGCAACAGGACCAATTTCCAACCAAGGGGAATTGACATATCATCACACAGGCCAACCCGCAAGGTCCCACACAGGTCCCACCAGTCAACAGTTTTTTTTTTTTTTTCCCCCAAACAATTGTTAGCATTCCAGAAGGCTTACTAGTTCGTCTTGCTCGGCGCAATCACAATCGGCGCAGTGCTGTCTCCTATACACCACAAGGGAAGCATGGACACGATACATTTAGGAGCTATGTGAAGCCATGGCCTAGTAGCATGGGAGAGAGTACACCTTTGTTTCTTTAAATGTCATGTCGTCCTTCAGACATTCTTTGACATCCAAACCCCCATGCCTGCTGCTGCAAGTTGTCCTGTTCCCTCCTCCCCCAAACCAGCTATGTTCAGTGATACTACTGCAAACAGCCCGTCACAACATCTGTTTTGCAGATACTTGCGGCGCACCGGTGCAGTGCACAGTGCACGGGGCGATGTGCAGATTAGTGGGGTGCACAAAAATGCAACACCTATCTACAAAATCGTACCCTCAAGAACCCCCCTCCCGGCACCTATCGGTCGGGGTTCGTCGGCACCTACCGGTCGGGGTTCGTCGGCACCTACCGGTTGGGGTTCGTCGGCACCCCGCAAAAAAACCCACCAACACCCCCATAGGGGCCCCCAAAACCCCCATACACCGCCCCAACACCCCCAAACCGCCCCCAACACCCTCATTACCACCCCCCCACCCCCCTATACCCCCCTCCAACCCCCCCATACTGGTCGGCTGCAATACGGTCGGCCCTACTGGTCGGCTGCAATACGGTCGGCGGTTGAGGTCATTGGTCGGCAGGTATGCAACCCTGAGCAACACCTAATTTATTCGGTATACTAAGTACTATACTTACTAAGTAACTATACTACGGAGAATTGCATAAAATTATTAAAATATTAAATAGGCAAATAAATCATTCCAAACAGAGAGCTGATCAGAGGAAAACAACAAAGATTTGAAGGAAAAAAACAATAATAATAAAGATTTAAAAACAAAAACAGGTACACGTACCCGAGGTATGGCATACTCCAAATGACGTTCAAATTTTTTAATCTCTTCCTTGAGTTTCTCAACCGTCGCATCCATCCCAGAATCACTCCTCCAGAGCTCCCTGCAACCAGCATACAAAATATTAAAATCATTTATTCCGACTTCAGATATCTGCTGCCATTCCTGCAAGTACCAACTCCGGCTCACACAAAAAAAAGAGGGGTTGCATCTGTGTCACACCAACCATGAAAAAAAAAAAAGGAAATGTGTGACCGCAATGAATGCACAATCAATTCCTACGTCCATTTCACTTATAGGTTCAGAGCATGACAAAGATAAAATTGATAAATATAACGACGAAATAAAATTCAAATAAATATTAATAATTTAAATTGTGTCAAGAGCTCGTATCCGATGGATGTTTTCATCCACGCAGGTCTTCAAATCAGCAGTTCGTCAACTAAAACCAACTGAGAGCTTTTTTTTTTTTTTTTTTTTTTTTTTTACCGAGAGCTTTATGTCACAAGCATATATAATGAAATCAGACTGCAACTCGAACTTGCTTGCAACATGCATACATGAGTGAACTGATTGAAAACCAACTTCTTCAACTCACTTGCGCCAACACAGAAAACTCAGAGATATGTCTTCCACTCAAAAATCGGTTCAAACCAACTGTACAACTTGCGGCTATGGCCGTCGGACAGTCTCCAGACTCTCCACCACCAGCCTCACCGTCCCTCATGCACGCACGTATGAGGATCCACCCTGAATGTCCACTGTAGACACACTCACACACTGTATACTCAGATGACGTCAACAGCTGGGTGGCTATGGCCGCCGTTGTCTTCCTCCTCCTAGCTATGGCTGTCTTCGTCTCCCTCAGCCAGCTATGGCGGTCGTCTTCCTCCTCGCCCACTTCAGCTTCAGGCACCTGCAGACCTCCGCACAAGTCGCTGATGCAGCACTTCCGCATCGCTCACAAGCAGAATGAATGAATGGCTGGACGCTGCCTCTTTATTTATACTGTCTTGCAGGTGGCCTGGCCCGGCCCCAAACCGCATGGGCCTGGGCCCCAAACCACGTGAGGGCCTGGGCTCCCCAAACCGCGTGAGGCCCGGAAGCCTCCAGACGCGTGGGACTTACCGCGAGGAAGCCCCACTTGCCTGGTACTTGCTGAATTGGACAGGGACAGACAGACCTACGACCTTCTAGACCCTACCAACACTTCCTGCGGACTGGGCTGACCCTTAGACCTACGAAGGGACAGGTAGAGCTTCCCAGAAGGGCCCTAACTAAGCCTATCAGTAACATACTAACCTGCTAATACGGAGATCTGTGGATCAAGTCCAACTAACTAACCTACTGCCTAACCTACGACTCAGGACAGGTCACGGGTTAAAATCTCACTCAGAACACAGGTTCAATGTACAGGGTTTAGGGGCAGGTTTAGGGATCGAATCCTAATGTCTGCAGATGTCGGGTCAACTGGGCGAAACCGTTTCAATAAGTACAGGCAGAGGCAAGGAGCGGGAGCAAGAGTCACCAAAGTGGCAAAAAACGATAATGCAAAGCAGCAGAAGACTGAAAAGCCAATGATCTGCCTCATCAGACTCACGACTTACCATGCACATACAAAATCACACAGGCAAGGATGGGACATACAACAGAAGGGAGATCCCTCGAACTTCTCTCTGTCGTTGCTTTACCTTCTACTTCACTAGCCTCTCTCACTAACAGTGCTTCTCTCCAGCAGCACGTCGTCTGAAGTGTGCTACTAACGCTGCCTCCCAAAAATGAGGCTGGGCGCAGCTACATACCTGCTGGGCCGGTCCTCAGTCTGGGTCCTGATCCATCGGATCTAACCATCGATTGGCAGTCTAGGATGCAGGTTTCAACATACTCCTCTTCCATCTCGTCTGATCGATGGTCAGTCTGTCAGATCAGCATGGTGTCATCGCCTACAACTATGATATGACCAAAGTAGGGCTTGATCTTTATGGCCCAGTTTTTTAACTTTTTTTTTTTTAATGGCCCAGTTGTTAGTTAGTATGTGAGAATTTTTCAGTCCTTTTCCAATAATAGCGCAAGTGCACCATGTTGTCATGCGGAACAGAATGGAGAGCTGCTTTCACTGCATGACTTTGAAGTTTGATCCGATGGTCCACGGTTCAATTCTGGGAATGTCAACGGTGGATGTGCATTGATTAATGATGACAGCACCTCTAAGAATCAGCAAGAACAACAGCTGAGACTGCACCTTACAACCGGAAATCGCAGCAGAGCATCTGCAATGAGGCAAGTCCATGCAAAACCCAGTTTCATTTGCTCTTAAGAACTCCCATTACACCATTGCCGATAACATTCGCTCAAAGAACATCTGCCTAGGTGACACGACCCATGCCTCATCGTTGCTTCATAACTCACTTACTACTTTTAATAAAGGGGTCGCCCGTAACATTATTGGATTTGGATTTGAAGTAATTGTCTGTTTGTTTATTAACAATTACACATGTTTGGCATTCAGCCACATGGCGTCGTCCTGGATTTTCAACAACAACAAAAAACAAAAAGTCACATGGCAGGTAACACAGGACTCACTTTCTCTTATTTGTCATCTCATCCCTTTGCTGCTTTAGTTGTGTGTGCGCTGCTTTGCACTCCTCTAGCTTTTGTTCTAGCTCCTCCAAGGCATTTTTCTTCTCGTCAATCTCCACCGATTGGTCCATGCATGACTCATTGAGCTGCCTCATCTCCTCCTCCATTGCTGCAATCTGCAAATATGAACACAAGCCCAACACACTCAGTGTCCATCTTAAGTTTACCCACCCTTTTTTTCCCAATTACAAAAAGGGATAGCCCCTAACATTATAGTATCATTTGGTTCTGTCAGGGTTCAAACTTCAAACCCATAATTTGTTCATTAACACACACACACACACACACACACACACACACACACACACACACACACACACACACACACAAAGAACATAAAAATAGTTCCTCCCTGAAAGTCCTAAGAGAACGCACATATGCCTTACATCCGGGGAAAGACAGCCCCATGTAATCGAGTCCAGATAAGTTACGGGATGTGTGGTTTGTCCTGCTCACACAAGTATCAGGCCTAGTGTCCAGTAGGTAGGCACTGGCAAGTCGCAAGTCACGTCTCTGCACAGCCTGGACCCAACCAACTCCACACCAGTAAGCTTCCCAGCCCGTAGAGCAATCCACCGTGGAGGGGCAAAGGTTTGGGGGTGGGGTGCTCATAACCAGCCCCCCCTTGCTCTGGTTGATAGTGCCACAAGGGTTAGGCTGACTCTCCTCCTCTCTTCTTTTCTCCCCCACTGTCTTTGTACAAACTTGCTTGCTGGGGATAAGTAACCGGACTGCTGCCCCCCAGAATAGAAGGGGGCTGTGTGCTTTCAAAAAAACAGAAAAAACAAAAAAAGAAGAAGAAGAAAAGACCAGACAAGAAAAAGAAAATCACCTGGAGGTTCGAGCCACATTAACCAATCCCTCAGAGCTACCATCTTCACCCGAATAGAACGCCCGGTCATTATCGCTGCATCTGGAATTCTGGACCGAAAGTTGTGCCAACTACAGCTATAATGACCGGGCGTTCTATTCGGGTGAAGACGGTAGCCCTGTGCCACCAACCTTCGCCTCTGACCAGAATCCACAGAGCAAACCAAGGACAGAGGGAGAGATCCTGGTCTCCTCTAAAGAACCACTTTTTGGACCAATCCACTGTTCTTCAAACAGATAATAAAGAACACTGGCCCACATGGGCATATACAGCCATTCTGGAGTCATCATAACTGCATCATGACCATGCCTCTCATGCATTCCATTTCAATTCGTCCATCTTCTTCCTATAGTTTTCCACATCTAGAGGTGCACCTAACTTATTGAGGTACGACAGCAGGAGAAGACACCACGCCACGACCAAGGAAGGACCACACCACTTTCAACCACTAACTTCAGAGTTGAGTGGCTGCAATTGGTGCAACGGGGTTAGGCGATCCCTTTTTTCTTAATCCAAATTTTCTCTTTTCAAAGAAGGTAGGCAGCCCCTATCCCTCAGGACATCTGTTAAAATTGGAATGATACAGAGAAAATTAACATGGCCCTTGTGCAAGTACGACACACATAAATCGAGAAATGGTCAC